TAAATCTAGCATTTAAATCGCGAGCCCGAAGATTTGTTCTTCGAGAATGCATATACTACGCACGTGAAAATTCATCTAAAATGTATGTATGTTTCCTTGATGGACGACAGGCCTTTGACAATGTTTGGCATAACGGATTATTCTATAAATTAATGGAATATAACATTGATCATACTACTCTTATTGCTTTTCGAGAAATGTATAGAAACGCAACAAGCTATGTTAAATGTCAGGGTTTAACATCAAGCAGTTTCCCTGTTATGCAAGGGACAAGACAAGACGGGAAGAGCTCACCGCTACTCTATCATCTGTTCATAAACAATTTGATAAAACAGCTAGAAGAGTCAAGATATGGATTCTGTATGTATAATATGAATATATGCTCACCTACTGTTGCTGATGATATGGTCCTTGTCTCCTTTTCGAAGTCAGGCATGGATAAATTACTTGACATTTGTGATACTTATTCCCGACAGAGGAGGTACAGGTATAACGCTGATAAGTGTGGAACAAGTAGAGATTTTGATGCTAAAGCATCAAGTCGCCGGATAGAAATATGATTGTATTATCATAAATAAAAGAAAATATCAGTTTAATGGTTTGAGTATAAAGAAAAGAGGAACAATAAGTTGAGTAATGTTTATTCATAAACACGTTTTCATTTACTTGTCACAATTATATCTTTCTTGCTGAGAGTTTTATGCAATAAATTTATGTTATATATGTTATAATAAAACATCATATTTGAAGCAAACTTGCTTAGCAATTTTGTCAAGAAACTGTTATCATTATTAAATAAGCAATTATTGTTTGGCAATATTTACCCGAGACTCAATAATTTTCGGGAGCTGTTTCGTTTGCTTACATAACTTGTTATGGTTAATGTTAACGATTTTATTGTTTAGTATAATTACATGTATAATTATATCAGTTAATACTGCTCGATGGCCTAGTGGTAAGTATGGCGAAGTTGTAACCTACATGTAGTAGGCGCAAGTTCGAAACTCGGACAAATTCTGTGTGTAGTTTTCATAAATTGATTTTTATTATATCGTTTAACTTTATGAAACATAAGTTGATAAATCGTGTGTTTCATTTCTAGCACTTTTTATTTCATAATTTTGATAAACGGTCAAGTTTTGCAAAATACAAAAATTATTATAAAAGAAAACATAAAAAATCACTTTATCGAACCTATACAGTCTTCAATTTGAAACTAACTTAAAATCTAACACCTTGTCATCGATGCTTGTAAAGCAAATGATATGATTATAATTCTACTTGTAATTCTACTTTATACATATACCGCTGTACCATATATTTGAACTCCGTATGGTTTTCTTCAGCATCCGATAATTACCGACAAATTATTACCGATCATCGTATATTTGCAAAGTGACTATGAAAATATATATGCTTAATTATTGCATTTATAAAACAATGCAATTCTACTGTAAAAGTGGTGTCTGCATAAAAAAATTATTCTTAATATGCACTATCGAAAAAATATATTATTTGGCTGAAATCAATATTCCTGTCGTTACATACGATATAGTTAACGTTTAATTGCCTTTCAGTGCGATAAACTATCAACACAAAGATGGTTTATTAGTTTTCTCTTTGTATCCAATACGATTCCGGCCCCTACTGTCATACCGAGATTTTTCATTCAAAACTACTTTTGCACTTTATCAGCTGCCAACCATCTGTTTGTCTGTCTTATCAGCAATGTGTTACTATTAATAGATTTTATAACAATAACATACAACGTGTAGTCACGTGATGCTGGGAGAAACTGTTTATAATAAATAAGATAAAAAAATAGAATAGGTCTCAAAAGATACAAACAACCAGATAATTTAAAAGTGCCATTTCAAATATCATGCATGATTTATTTATTATAAAATATCAACGCTTGACACTTTAAAAAAAGTAAAAGCATCCCTAAATTCAATGACTGGTCCATAGGGATACGTCGTTAATTCATTTTATAAAAATTGTAATGTTGCTTTCTACGATGTCAATATTTGAATATTTCATTTCATTTAGCAACGTTATTGTATGTTTGAATTTTTGTGATTACTGAAAACAATTGTAGTCTTTAATTGTTCAGTAATTATTATGCTTTTATTTACAAAAATTAATGCCTTCTCCTACCATAGGTATAATATTAAACTGTTACAAATATAGTCGCCTGTTTCTACCGGCGACTAATTATTGTGTTCAATGAAAAGGTATCATCGAACTCAACAAATAGGACGTTTGCACTCGGTAATGAGATCATAAAAGAAACAGAATCATACACTCATTTAGGTATTGCATGTGACAAGTATTTATCAACAAAGAAACCCCTAACCGAAGCAGGTAATAAATTGCGAGGAACCCTTTTATCAATAACTAATAGTGGCATTCACACTCAGCGTCTGAATTCGATAACATCTCGAACTATCTATTCATCAATTGTGATACCAAAAGCCTTATACGGCTGCGAATTCTGGAACAAATAAATACTCTCTAACAGACATACGGAAATTAGAAACATCTCATAGATTTTGTGTTAAGTACATGCAAAAATTGCGTAGCAATACCGTGACGGACTTCGCTTTAAGCGCATTAAATATTAACAATATAGAGACTATTATAGACTACCGGAAATTACAATTCTTTGGGCAGTTGTGTCGCTTACCGGGAAAATACCTAGCAAAAAATATATTTGTTCATAGACTGGTGCGCTATTTACATGTTGACAAACAGAGCACATGATTCATACCCGATATATTCAGATTATTGAACAAATACGGTCTTGAGGAAACATTAAACTCATAATTTGCATCTGGACAGTTTCCGTTCAATTATTCTTGGAAATTGACACTTCAGAATGTTGTAGGTACTACAGCAAGCACAAAACGAGTTGATAGATTAACTTCAATACGGCCAGAAATAAGTGCTATCATAAGTTGTAATAAGCCGGCATTATTATGGTCAATTTCCAGAAATAACATAAAGATTGGATATGTATGTTCTTTCTTAATGGAGACAATAGGGTATTTTCTTGCTCCATCTTTTGTTGTCAAAGGCAACAAGTGTAAATTATTTTGTGATAATATCATCACCCACCTTATGTGTTTTTGTGCGGTGAACGAAAAGAATATGATTGTCCTATCTTTGGAACTCAGTTATAGATACTTGCGGAATAAATACATTTATAGCCTTACTTGCATTACAACCGTTAGATCAGTGTTGGCGTATTATTCAGCTTGCTATAGAAAATGACGATCAAATGTTGATCAATTATTCAATTTCAAAGTGCTTGTGTAAGGTGATTAAATGATAGACTTAAATTAAGTGGATCTGATTTAAGTCAAACTATTTAAGCACGGAATATGATAAACATGCAGTGTTAAGTTTAGTTCTATACTATCATCACAAGTGGTATATATATATGGTCATTGATATTTCTTTATTGCATACGTACCTTTACATGTATTTGTTAACTTGTAGGAATCTTGATATTTCGATTTCGAGTTAAGGTTTCTGTATACAAGTGATATCTTAAATGCATTCCATTTTGTGATGTTGGATAAATGAAAATATGTCACCAATGTTCAATGTTATATATAATGTATCTGCTTTTTTGCTTGTTATTTAATTTGTTCATGCTCGTCAATTCTGGAGGAAAATAAAAGTATCTATCTATCTATAACTAAAATTTCTATTATGGGTAACGTCAATTCTTGTGAAATATATTACTAATTCAGCTTAACTTGACAGTAAGGAGGAAAAAAACAAGCAAAATGTCACATTACTTAGGCGGAAGGCTTCTGCGCATATTTATGCACGAAAAAGGTGTAATAGCACTATTCTTGCATAAAAGTATACTCTAAATCGGGTTTCCGCCTATTATGTAGTATTTCATATCCATTCCAAGTGATAAAGAAAAATGTGTTAAGTTTAAAAGAAAAGTTAAAATAATCACGTAATAATTTCAATGTTATGTTCGATAAATGACTGGTCACCATATTTCTACTTCATGACAAACGTTGAAAGGACTATTTTTTTTACACATTTTGACTTATTTTTGATAACTTCCGTAGATTTTAAGTGCCGTTTTGCAATTAGTGTGTAATTTATATTTACTTTCTTTGTTCGTTTGACAATATCGGAAAATGAATATGTTGTACATTTGTATTCATTGTATACACGGAACAAGACGATATAGTTGTGTATTAATAGGAGTTCTATTCTGTTTTGTTTACTTAACCATTTACAGTGAGTCGGTCACTATTTGTTTTTGAGGGATTAAAGCAATATACGTACGATTTCAGAAACATCGTTTAAATTGTTCTTCAAAAGGCAGACGCATATACATGTACATGGACGGCTGCTAAACGCTGACAAAATAAGGGAGTAGTGTCTCGGTTTATATGTACATAGAACTTGTCATAAAAATCTATTCTGTCTACAAAGTTTTAGAGTAATATGACTCTGGTCATATATACAAACAACCGTTTATATATGGCCATACAACAAAACAAAAATCTTTATTTTAATTATATACCGTCGGTAAAATATTAAAAGCAAATTGCCTGTCAATCTATTGTAAAATGAAATGTGGCTGTTTTAAAATATACTTGAGGTACTATCAAACGCATTGCAGATAATGCGATCGAAGTCTATCAAAATTAAATGCAAGTAAGAGTACGTGCTTAAAAAAGATAATAATTCGGAAAGAGTATTACGTATATGTTAATTTGTGAATATGGCAAGATTCTTCACTTTCAATATCTTCCAAAATTATAAAAGAATTATAAAGCCTCGAAGATTGTGAATACTTGACCTTTGTGGTTAATCTTACTTTGAATCATTTTATCTTTGTTGTTGTAGGTTTAGATCTCGCCAGGGACTTTCAGTTTAATAGGAGTAATGAAACAGTAAATTGCTTCGAGAATTAAAAAATTGTTTTGATGGCTGTCCTATATCAAATAAGAATATAATAATAATGTTGTTTCTTTGTCATTTTAATAAATAAATATCACAGAATGAATAAATATAACAATGATTTACAATATAATAACGATTTTCATTCTAATATAACATATAAAACATTAACAAAAATAGTACATGTATATACAAAACATTCGAAAACAAATATTAATCATATTTATGCAGTTTATATCCGTAATGTTTGAAAATTATACATAATATCGTTTGAATATATACTTTCAATATCATTTTGAAGTTTATTTCAACATATTTATATTATTATCATGATGAGAAAATGCCCTTTTTACTGGTATTTAAGTTAACTAAATTTTTCAATAATTATAAACTGCTCGAACAACTTTTTTTTGTAAAGAAATCAACATACTATTTTATATGTCAATAATATTATACATTATCATTTTATCATTTAATCTACTTCTTCAACAGTAGGTCCACCTTGTCCAGCTCCTGTGTTCTGTTGCTGGCCTTGATTTCTTCCTCCGTGTAGTTTAACCATGATAGGTGATATTTTCTTCTGAATTTCCTCAAGTTTGTATTCAAACTCCTCTTTTTCGGCTGTTATATTATTGTCGAGCCATTTTACGCATTCTTCACACGTGTTTTTCACAATTTCCTTGTCTTCAGACGACAATTTATCGTCTGTCACTTCTAATACAGACTGTTTCACACTGAACACATATGCTTCCAGTTTATTTCGTGCATCCACTCTTTGTCTTTGTTTCTCGTCCTCTTCGCGATATTTCTCTGCTTCATTTACCATTCTGTCAATATCATCTTTTGAAAGCCGACCACGCTCATTCTTTATCGTAATTTTGTTCATTTTATTGTTACTCTGATCTTGAGCAGAAACATTCAAAGTTCCATTAGCGTCAATATCGAAAGTCACCTCAATTTGTGGTACTCCACGTGGTGCTGGTGGAATTCCGGTGAGGTCAAAGCGTCCTAGTAAATTGTTGTCCTTGGTCATCGCTCTTTCACCTTCAAATACCTGAATACTGACTGCTGGTTGATTGTCGGAATATGTTGTAAAAATCTGAGACGCTTTCGTCGGGATTTTGGTATTTCGTTCAATGATTTTCGTCATCACACCACCTGCTGTTTCTATACCAAGTGAAAGAGGAGCAACATCGACTAGAAGAACATCTTTGATTGCTTCTGATGTATCACCAGACAATATGGCTGCCTGGACAGCAGCACCGTATGCTACAGCCTCATCAGGGTTAATAGATTTGTTCAGTTCCTTACCATTCATAAAGTCCTGTAACAGTTTTTGAATCTTTGGAATTCTTGTTGATCCACCAACAAGAACAACTTCATGGATCTTAGATTTATCAAGCTTTGCGTCACGGAGGGCTTTTTCGACTGGTTCCATTGTTGCTCGAAACAGGTCAGAACACAATTCCTCGAACCTTGCTCTTGTAATTTTGGTATAGAAGTCAATGCCTTCAAACAAAGAGTCAATTTCGATATTTGCTTCGGCACTGCTAGACAATGTTCTCTTTGCTCGCTCACACGCCGTCCTCAATCGACGTAAACTTCGTGCATTTTTACTCATGTCTTTTTTATGTTTACGTTTGAACTCCTCAACAAAGTGATTGACCATTCTGTTATCAAAATCCTCACCTCCAAGATGTGTATCTCCTGCTGTAGATCTTACTTCGAAAATAGATCCTTCATCAATTGTAAGAATGGACACATCAAATGTTCCTCCTCCAAGGTCAAATATTAACACATTCTTTTCATCGTTTAAGTTTTTATCAAGTCCATACGCTAAGGCAGCGGCTGTCGGCTCGTTGATGATTCTCATGACATTAAGTCCAGCAATTGCCCCGGCATCTTTCGTGGCGAGTCTTTGAGCATCATTGAAGTAAGCTGGTACTGTCACAACAGCGTTTTTAATTTTCTGACCAAGATATGCTTCTGCAGTTTCCTTCATTTTTGTCAGAACCATTGAACTAATCTCTTCCGGTGCAAAAGTTTTATTCTCTCCTTTGTATTCCGCTCGGATTTTCGGCTTGCCTCCGTCATTGACGATTTTAAACGGCCAATGTTTGGCATCATTTTGAACACTCTGGTCATCGAACTTGCGACCTATCAGGCGTTTTGCGTCAAAGACCGTGTTTGCCGGGTTCATTGCTGCTTGATTCTTGGCCGCATCACCAATCAATCTCTCGGAGTCTGTGAACGCGACGTAGCTAGGCGTGGTTCTGTTGCCCTGGTCATTTGCGATGATTTCCACTTTCCCGTGCTGGAATACCCCAACACAAGAATATGTGGTACCGAGATCTATTCCTATAGCAGGTGCACTCATAATTTTGTTAATTACACTGTCAGCTGGTTTATTTATTAATTTATAACCTATGTTATCACTTTTTAAAATCGTAAATTTATTTCTTCGCTCGCTAGTTTGCTTTGCTTTTGAATGTAATTGCGCTATGTACTTCTCTTTTATAGAGTTTTTGATCTTTCGAGACTTTTCTAGCTAGAAACATTAATAATAATCTAAAAATAGAATTTAGAACAATCTAGTATCAAGAAGAATAATCCTCGCGAACATTCACGAATGTGATTAAAGGGAGGCAAACCCAATACAATTTAGTCGGCTATGTATGCCATTTAATTTATACTCTCAATCAATTCACAGATACTTGGGGTTTGGAGCTCAAAACGCCTTTAAAATCCAAATAAAATGCATATTTGTCAATCCCAGGACATGTACTGATCATATATATCAAAAAATCTTAATATATGCCGTTTTGAAAAAAAAATCATATTTCAACAACTATAATATTATTATAGTACATGTCCTGGGATTGACAAATATGCATTTTATTTGGATTTTAAAGGCGTTTTGAGCTCCAAGCCCCAAGTGTCTGTGAATCAATTTACATTATCTAGTCCGTAAACTGTTAACGTTTACTTTCCCTATATCGCACTGTCAAACACAATCCTTTCAAAATTCAAAGCAAGTTCTATACAGTATATACGTTTTTAACGAACAAGGTACTATATGTGACCAGCCTTAAAATTATCTTCTAATCATTTTATGAAAAATGTAAAAATATTTTTGACCATAATTATTTATCTATATTTGAATTAAAGGACTTGAGGATGCTTAGCATATATTTAAAGTTTAAAACTAAAGTTTTATTCAAGATATAACTAAATTTGTATATTCACAGTACAAAAACATGAGAAATTTAAGATTTGCAGATATGATTCTAGATTCTTCCATGTGGTAGCAGTGATTTTAGTGGGTAGCTAGAAAACAAACAATTTTTATTTTATTTTAAGCCAAGTAAGTCTCCACCGAAGAATCTACCTATCCTCAAAAGAGTAATCGATGTACTTACACTGATCAGGGTGCGTATGCCACAAATGAAAGTTTAAAGCAAAAACTGGGAGATAGGGAGGGTGTAAAAAATGATCGAGAGTTTAAAACAGCAGTGCTGGATAAAAAAGAAGATCAAAGGTTAAAATAACTATTTATATATAATTGGAGCCAAAGGTGCATTGATTTGACCTAAAATCAAAATTATTTTTTGCTATAATATATAGTTATAGACAGACAATATAAAAAAAAATTGATTTTTTTTTTTTTAATATATGGATATTATTAATACATGAATAACAAGATTAAACATATTTAGGTAAAATCAATATGACTAGCACCTCTGATTGGAGATTGGAGAGCCGAGCAATTGCTTGATTGAAGGATTCAGTAGTAATCAGGGTAACGATTTGTATTGGAAGTTTGTTCCACAGGTATGTGATGTGTAGAAAGACGTCAGGTTTTGCATGTAATTGTCAGAGCCTATGTGGGTGGAAGAATATGTCTGGTATTTCAAGGTAGTGGAGAGTAAATGCTACAAGATTAAGATATAACCGGGCATCCAGATGCCTCTCCCCTCACACACATACACACCCTCTAGTGTGCTATGGCTAGTTTATTTTGGAATTCTGTACGTGACACTTGTATTTTAATAGTAGTTTTTCCTTGACTAATATCTTTGTGTTATATGTTTTGTGTGTATGGATGAAAAACTGTGGGTGATAGGTGTTCAGTGAGGTTCGACCAAGGGCTTGAAGATTTTGTGTTTTTGCGTGTCATGTTTGTAATGTATATATAATAATGAATAAATAAGTCCCCCGGTGTTCTGGTTCATTTTTGTAACTCTGTATACGTATAATGTTTCCAAGGTTATTCTAAGCCTCAGATGTCCTTAACTAAATCGATTACCGCAAGAGACAGATTAACAAAATAAAATTATTTTTTTAGATGCAATTAAGGTATAAAACCTAGCCTAATTCATTCGGCGTAGACGGTTTGACCCATTTTACAAGCTTTTTTTAAATACTGTCAAACCGTTGGAAAAAGACATTGCCCGTCCAAAATTATCTCGATGTCTTTTTGACAAGTCTATTAATAAGTTACAGTAGACTGCATGCATAAGACCTGGCCGATGCAACATACCAAAACGAACAACAATTTTTCATATACCAACGGAAAACGTAAATACTAAAATAAAACTACATCAACAGATGCGCTAGTCACGTGTCTTAGAACTTAATAATTTAGATTAATCAAAGTGCTGCAGCACTGAATGCGACGGACATGCAACCGGAGAGACATTATGGCTTTTTTTAGAAAAAAAAAAAAAACACAAAAGATATAACAGAGAAAATTTGTTCCATACAAGTTCGAGATTTGTAGAGCAATATATTTTATGTGCCCCATTCTGATATAATTCAGATTTTCTACTTTCAAGCAGAACAAGTCCAATTTTTTAAATACAGAATGAAATTTATGCCTAAAAGCTCTGGTCAAACTTGTAAATCAGTGTCCTTATCGATTTATTCCAAGATATGTAAAAAGAAAAAAAACTGTCTAAAATAAAACCATGCAAATAAACTTTAATCATAATAGTAGTGTCATTCGGAGAGCGAGAGGGAGTTGTGAGCAGGAGCAGTTTAGGTTTGGGGATTATGACGTAATGTTAATCTTTTGAAGTGGTCTTCGAGTGTACTTGAGAGGTAGAATATCCTTTTGAAGTGGTCTGCCAATGTACTTGAAAGGTAGAATATCCTTTTGAAGTGGTTTTCAATGGCACTTGAAAGGCAAAGTGTCCTTTTAAAAGATGTTTAATTAAAAATAAAGATGGCGGATATTTGCATAATTAAAAATAAAGATGGCGGCTAGTTCCGTAATGAAAAACAAAGATGGCGGATAGTTTACCTGGCAACCAATGGGGAGAGTGATGCATGAATGAGTGATTATAGGCAGTATGTGTGTGTATTGAAATGTTTTCTCAATAAACATTATTATTATTATTATAAACGGGTCAGTTTTTACTGACCACCATTAAATTCGAAATGGCTACCGCCGACAGCGTGTCTATATCTTTGAGCAAGACTGGAGAAATTTCACCAGAACGCGAACCTTTTAAAATCTGTGAGGAAAGTGAGCTTCAGGGCGGCCGGGCGGTCTCTAGCGACTGCGTGGTTTGCGGCAATAGGCTGCCTAAGAACCGCGTTACTTTCATCGCTCAAATAGTCGCCATATACGGAATAATAATCGTGTCTGCGGTCAATCTTTCGATCAATTCCGGGTCAAATCAAGAACTCTGGATTGCTCTACTCAGCTCGGCCGTCGGCTACGTGCTGCCGAGTCCCGGACTTAAGTACAGAAAAGCCAAAGCGACATTCGGACCAACCCTTAGGGATGAGGGACAGTAATGGCGGAACTGAAACCAAGTTCGAGTATCTCGGTAGATCGAGAAGGCAGACTCAAAATAAGCAGAAAAGAAATAGTTTCATTCCCGGAGTCTCAGGACACGTACAGTACCAACAGACCGGTTCACATATTGCTCAGCAGCCGGTCTAAACATTCATTTATTCAACACTAATGATAAGTCAGCTTTACCTTTTTGATTCTGAAAAGAGATATTTTGACGCTTATTCTAACTGGATTGTACGAAAACGAGCATGTTTTAATAGCCTTTATGAATCTTTTTAAATTGAATTAAAGATGGCGGTTAGCCATTCGAGTTATTTTTAAATAAGATAAAAAAAATGGCGTCTTATTGGAGGGAGATTCCTTTGGGGTTTATCAAGTATGTATCGAAATATATCTCGATACTCAAAATAGGCGGCAGAATGTCTGTCATTATAATAATAACAACGGTTATTATTATTATGATTATGATGAAGATTATTATTATCATTATTATGAGATAAAGTAATTGCTGGAAGCCGTTGCTCGGGTAGCGGCTCAATGCTAGTCATTTTTTGATGACGTGTTACCCATTAGCGGAGAAAAAAAGCAATTAAAAATGACCTAGATTTCACTGAACACGACTTGTTCAGGCATTTTGCCAGAATGTCGTGTCGACGCTTTACCATTGACGAGAGAGCAGAAAAACAGGATTGCCAGTCGATAGAGACCTCTTTTTCATTTCATCAAATTATTTCTTAAAATAGTATACTACCGCGCAATTTTGATGTTAGAATACAATGCCGTGACAGTAACTGGAAAAACATCGTATTATTTCCCCTCACTAATTCTGTATTGTTAATGTGGCAGCTATTCTTACTTTTGATTCAAGTGTACCAAGTGAGTAAAAATATTGTGTTGTTACATAGTTAACAGTCTATTTTATCAGTAAAAATCTGAAATTTAAAAACCTATAGAAAGAGTGTCCCAGTGAAGTATAAGTTCGGGGTAATAAAATAAATAACACGCAGTTTGTGATTAACATCGCTTGGAAAACAATGTTAGCTAATTCTTCGGGTAAATAGTATTTTCTTCGGGATGATATATTTTACTGTTACTCACAAACTGTGTTTTATTTATGATTTTGTACAGTGATGGGAATAGTCACGGCAAGGACGAACTTGTATGAATGCAGGGAAAACAAAAGTGATATGTTTGAATGAAAGAAGGGCATTTTTATAAAATTTATTAACTGCCAGAAAGCATAAGCATAAAGTGGTTAAACCTATTTATATTATGTTATGACTTGAAGAAACGAGGTCAGTATATATGTGGCATTTTAAAAAAAAATTGTACGCGTACAATATTTTGTATATAATAATTATAATGATAATGTAAATTATTATAACTTTGTTACATTTTTATTTCACTTTATTTTTATTATTGATTTTTTGTACACGCATTTTCAATATGCCAGTTTCAAGAGAGATTAGATGTTATGTTATAACAGTGTCAACATTTGAACAGCTACTGTGTATTTGTAAAAATGACAATTTATGTTTGTTTATGCTTACTCTATTTGTGTTTGTGTGTATGTGTGTTCTTTCTTATTTCAAGTGGAGTTGATCTTATTTCTAATGGAGTGTTTCTATTAAATCTGCATACCTTCGATGAAATTTACTGTACTAGTAAACAATCAGTTTATCAGTAAATAAGAAGAAGAACAAACAAACAAAACAATCAAATTTCCGATATTCTATCAATCTATCACCGCCATTACATTCTTAAATACAATAGTTGAGTGACGTAAAGAAAAGAAATGGCCAAATAATAAAGTATGCGTATACACTTAGTAAATCCCGGCTAGAATTTAATTTAATTTGAAAATACTGACTGCTCGAACGCATGTAATAGCTACAAATGAAGAATTACTAGTATACATATTCTATGCTTGTATAAATGATGTAGTCCTGAAAATAATAATAATAATAATAATGAATATCACTTCGTTTTCTCAACAAACTAAAGCATTATACACATTTTATACAAGTATAAATAATGTGATTTTAAAAAAGCAGAAAAAAACATTAAAAATATGACTTCGTTTTCTTATCAAACTAAAGCGTTATACACGCTTTATACCAGTATAAGTAATAAAGTCCTAAAATAAAAAGAATACTAAAATCATTTAAAATATCAGCCCGTTTTATCATATCAACAAAGTAAAATACTATACATATTCTGTACTAGAATAAATAAGGTAAAGGCGAGCGTCCATTTTTCGCTGGTGACGTAAATGATATTACTAATTTGTAAGTAAGGAAACATAAACAAAATGGACGCATTCAGTTCAGTCAGAAACGTTTACTTTGCAATTTGCAAATACATGTACATTCAGAGAATATAATAAAACCATTGTCACTCGAACCTATGCAAACTGGAATCATAACACTGGGCCACTGTTTAACAGATATGTTGCTTTTATTAAAATGTTGATACACATTTATGTAGTTTTTAAAAAAGGGAAATTAAAACAGTTTCTTATAACAGAACATTATTCCGTCGACTTAAAACCGTTTTTGAATTATAATTTTAAATGCAGAACACTCAAGTTTGCCAATAATATAAACGGCATAAAACTACTAGAAAATAATCAGATTGAAATGTATCTTAACCGATAAAAAATTGAATTATAAGATGTCTTTCCGAAGCTTTGTAAAAATGAAACTGTAATACTGGTCTGTTTACTAGTATTCGATGTCCGTCCCTGTCATAGTAGCTGCGTAGACAAGGTTATGATTAAGAAATAATACATTGTTTCAGCGGTGTTTATCGGCTATTTAACACCGGTTTGGAGTTTTGATACGTAGAAATTGACCACGAAGGCAATAGGTTGTGAAAATTATCTTATAGAGGTAGAAGTAAAAAACAACAACTGAATCTAACGAGTCTCGAATCTAACTAGTGTATATTGGCAGTTAAACACCGGTTTCGTTGTGTATAGTGACACAACCACTAATGTATCGTTCAAACTGTGACCGTCTGGAACCATGACTGATGATAATTATGATGTTACCGTGATGTATGTCTAGTTGTGAAAATGTTATTGTATCTAACTAGCTCACTTGTATCTCGGTTTTTGAAAATATGCTAACTCACTTAAAAGATTGTCTTCTTATAATTATTCCCTCTTTTAAAATATCTAATTAAGGCAATAAGCCTGTGTACATATACATGTATACGTGAACTCCAAAAGGACATGGTATTTTAACAGGCCATTTGTTTTTAAGATAGCTGATGTCTATCCGATAAATAGTAGCAGCTGAAGTTTATGTTTATATTCTACTTGCATATATGGACATGAATAATGCTAATTATTTAAATACGTTTATTACTCACGTTGGTATCGATTACATAAATGTTCACACAAAAATGTGAACTGAAAACAGAATTCAATTTCAACAATTCAGTGAGAGTGTGTTGTCTGTGACTTCAAATTAATATGAAGAGAAAGCTAAAATATAACAACAACCAGAACTCTGAATATTTCTCATGCTTAAAAGATATCGTCTTACTCGTATTCTTTATTTAGTTATCTTTGCATCGTCTTTATGAAGCATTGTATCATGATTTAAATAATTGTATCTTGCTCAACCGTATATCTGACTGCTTGAAGTACATGTACAATCAATATGTAAATGCCGTTATGTACTGTAATGGAATTGTATCGTGTTGTGTTCTATTGTGTTATCGTTTTTAACAACCAGTGTCTAGTAACAAATTTACCTCTGCACTCTTTTATCTTTATATTTTAACCAAAGCGCACGTATAAACAATTCATCTAAACGTTTAACGCCAGCGCAGTAAGCATGACGATAGTCTCAAATGAAAAAGACAACGGAACATGTTTGAGGATAGTTTGATTTAGTGTTTTTCGTGTACATTGTAGTTGATCTACACGCTCTTTAAGTTAAAAGGAGAAAATAAGAATCCCTACAGAAAACGGAAGTCAATAATACTTTATATGATTATACATAATCTGTAAAAGATGCCTTTATTAAAGATATTCAAATATGTTACATATGCTAGCATGTCTATTTTTCTTTGAAAGTAAGACACTTGATGAGATTTGCATTTCTCTTTCTCCTATAAGAATGTTAGACGTAATAATACTTTATGAAATGTCTATTTATCGAGATAAATGAGAAAAATACTTATTCTGAAAATGGCACATTTATTCATATGACACATGCAAATAATGTATCATCTTTCCTTGTACAGAAGATGGAGTTACAAATTCTATTTGCATGACTATAAAACTGAAACATTAGAGAGGTACGATTAAAATTCTGATGTTAAATAAACAAGAATACTTCACAGTCTGGCTTAAACCTTTTGTTTGTGACTATGACATTCCATTGGTATAAAAATGACGATTTATGTTTGTTTCCTCTTTCCGTGATTAAAAATGCTTACTCTATTTGTGTTTGTGTGTATGTGTGTTCTTTCTTATTTCAAGTGGAGTCGATCTTATTTCTAATGGAGTGTTTCTATTAAATCTGCATACCTTCGATGAAATTTACTGTACTAGTAAACAATCAGTTTATCAGTAAATAAGAAGAAGAACAAACAAACAAAACAATCAAATTTCCGATATTCTATCAATCTATCACCGCCATTACATTCTTAAATACAATAGTTGAGTGACGTAAAGAAAAGAAATGGCCAAATAATAAAGTATGCGTATACACTTAGTAAATCCCGGCTAGAAGGTTGTCCATCACTGATTTAATGTTAAGTTGTAAAATATAGATCGGATACTTAACTAGCTAATTATCTTTAGCTCTATAGGACACTATTTCATGGTCTTAAACCGAATGCACAATATAGTAGAACTTTAGAACTGTAGAACTTTCAAGTCGCTATGATTTCCACTATGATAATGGGCACAGAAACGACTAGACGAAATCCAATTGAAATGCGATTGAAATAATTTACTATCCTTTTACCGTTAACAAAACGTAAGTCCGCGTATTTAAATCGTTTGTTCGTAACGGTGACATAAAGCATTGTATTGCATTGTATTGTGCGGTGTTGTCATTTACTGTCATTGACGGGCTCCTTGTAGACCGCTTTTAACGCACGCGTTTTATCTGACTGGCTACACTTCATTTATTACATGTTAACATCGTATCTGACCGGTTATCATTCTATTCTATATCTTTAAAGACTAAAGTGGTAAAAAGCTTTGTATTACTATTTAAGCTTTCTGTTAAGCTTCCACTACTGTACATGTGAAACTCTGTTTTATCACAATGTTAAAACTGTATCGTTTGAACTTCTTTTGGGTCTGTTAATACTTTCACCACATGTAACGAATTATGTCGTTATTTTGCTCAATCGTATTGGATCGGTGTTAAACTGCTGATATATATGTCGCTTTAACAATTCTTCTTTTTGTCATTCGTCTCCGTATTTAGACAGGGCATTAACAACACGTGCACATATTTGTATGAATTTGAAAGGAATTTATTATTGCATGGCAGCGATAATACTTTTTTGTTTGTGTATTAAAGAATGAAAGTAACAGGAAAAAATCAACATACATAACTGTATATGAATTATGCAGCAAATTTTCTAGATCAACCTATCATTCAATTCGTATTCGTTACTCTTTAGATCATGCAATCGTTTATACTTGAAATAATACGTTATCGTTATATATATGGAACTAATCACAATACGTTCACCCGAAACATATTTTTGAAGCGTATACTTACGCTATAAATAATCCCCATAACGCGTACGTTACTTAACTCTAAGTGATGCAAAAGTCCCCATCGTTTTATCGTTTAAGCTTTCGTTGTATCTTGCTTTATTAGCAATACAGTGTCTCGGATGCAGTATTGTAAATTGTATAGTTATGTATTATTTTGTATTGTATTGTGTTGTAGTGTATTGTATTGTGTTGTAGTGTATTGTCGTTTACTGTCATTGTCGGCTCCCTGTGGGCCACTTTAG